AATTATTATACAAACCAATATACTGTGGTCTGTGTTCTAAAATTTAAAGGTAAGATTATTATCTAGTCAACTTTATGTGCTTTTTATTATATTTTAATTTAAAGCGAGTTATGAGTATTTTAAAATTGTAAATTGTAAATTGTTTGTACATCCTAAAATACTCATAACTCGCTTTAAAATTAAAATATAATAAAAAGTCCATAAGGTTGTCTAGATAATTATCTCTTACCTTTACATTTTATAAGAGGTAAATTCCATCTAATTATTAAATTAACGGAGCTACACGTGTTCTGCTGAGCGTAAAATTCAACTTGTAAGATGGTGACAACACATCTGGGTATCACGTCCTCCTAAGTCCTAACTCAAAAGGGTAATATTAACAATATGTGTCAGAATTTTGGCTAGCGGCATGATTTATTCAATTTTTATCAGTTTGAGTTTAGCTTATTTTAATACTATTTGAGTTTTTCAATTTTATTAAATTTAAAAATTATATTTTATATTTTAGTTTCTACCTTAATTATAATACTTTTCCACTAATCTACTGCCTGATTTCTATTTATCGAGGGAGGGGGTTGATTCAGTCTATTATATTAACAAAAATGACTTCACTGGAAAAGCTCCTTTCATGCCTCATTGATATGCAGTGGAGCACTAATATTCCTTATTGATTTAGATATAAGCCGTCTAAGTTATTTCAAATCAATAGTTTTATTAGGTGGCCCCTCAGCATGGTCACCCTAAATGCGCCTATGTTGATATATTGATTTTTGATAATTTTTAGATTCTGAGTGTTGATTTTACAATGATGTGTGTTTTTTTATTTTTTTTTGTGTTTGTCATCACCTTTCAGGACAGTAAAAGTGCTTGGATTTTCTTCAACAATATCTTTTCTGATAGGAAAGTGAATCTAGTTGGTACTTTGGGGGGTCAAAAGTAAAAATTTCCCAGTAGTTTTCCAAAGCTCCGTGAAAAATTAAGGAAAAATGGGAATTTCTGTTTTCGAGATAATCGATTTTGGTTTTTGGTGCAACTCTTAAACAAATGACCGTATTTACATTAAATTTTGACTGAATGTTTATATTAGCACTTTCTATACACCATAACATTTTTCAAATATTTAGACTTATTTTGAGCTCTTTATTCAAAAACAGCCATCGTATATTCTCCTTCCATAGCATATTACAAATTTATTAACTATAATTATAAAGTTTGGAATTTTTTTTTTAAATAAAATATGTTATATGAAAACATGAAAATACATTTATATTGCTTTTCATATAAAGTCGTAATTTAAACGTTTAATTTCCGGTAGCAGTGGATTATAAAGTGTCAAGTTCAATTATTAATGTAACTGACATTTTAGAAATAATTATTTTTGGAAAATTAACTGCTGTAGTATTAAACAATATTTAATAGGAACCATCTTACATATTATAATATGTATATAAATAAGTAGTTTTATATGACAACTGATATTACCTAATGGCTAATAGGTAAATGTAAAAAAAGATACCGAATGACTGTTCTAATGAGTCTACGAGTCTACCTCGTCATTAAGTTGTTTACTGTAATAGATGTATTCAATTTGAATTCAATGATGAATCGTTGCATACAAAATAAAAGATTGTAACCGGATACTGTACATCTTCCTTTCTTAGTTATTAGTTTATTACTAAACATTTTACTATATATTTATACACTAATTAGTAATATATTTGTTTACTACATATTAATAGTAATACGATAGGTTGAATTATTTTTTGCCAAAATCATTGTATTTATTTTTTTATAGGTAATTATTATAATAATATAATTTATTTATATCATATACTATGGTAATTAACTTTTAAATCAATACCTAATTACCGTTGAACGGTGTGAATGGTATAAGTAAGCAACAGCATAAAATTAATTTAAATATTTTGAAAATTCAATTTGTAAAATAAGATAAAATAATGAATGGTATACATAAAAGTTTAAGGTTCCCATTCAACGCAAATATTTTTGATTCCCAACAAAATAACTAAAATCGTTATGTTTATTTTAATGTCAACTTCAATGTCCATTGATAAAATTGTGGCGATGTATTTTAAATTTTTTTAAATTAGAATAACAACAACAACTTAGGTGACATCTTGTATTACATTTTTAAAGTTTCTGGTTTATGCGCTATATATAAATTTACAAATTACGTATTAAAAAACCTAGAATAACTATTTTAGTTATTTTGTTGTGAATATATAATATTATTCGTGGGTACTGGAAATTTCTAAAGTATACTACTATATATAATATTTTTATGATAGTATCACGGCTTGTTGTTGATGTATAATGTGTTATAAGTACCTAATGGATATTGTGATATGATTAATTTGGAATTTATTATAGGTAGGTCAATTTTTTTTTATAAGCATTTAAAGTTTGAATTTTGACTAAATTTAATAATTATTTTGTAGTTAAAAATGTATAAAATGTTCAACTTTTATAGCTAAGGATTGAAAATTTAAAACAAGGTTCCACGTAAATAGGTTATATATAAATTACTTTATTCACCTTAATATCATCAAATATACTTTGTAATATCGTAGGCTGACTGACCGTTTTCGCTCAGAATCGTTTTTCTTATACAATGATATTATATCATTGAATTCAAATTTAAGACCATACATTACAGTGACCCACTTGTAACCTACTGTACAGCAGAGCGACTTTTTTATTTAAAAGATGAGACATTTTTTCAATATTTAGCCAACATTTTTATTTTGCTTTAAATAGTGCTAGAAAAATAGCAAAAATTATTCATTTTTCAAATGTATATTTTATCATCTAGTTATAATTTTGAAAATCGACTTTTGATCTGACCTGCTAAATGTTCTCTTAGAAAACATAATTTAAAAGTTCTAACTATTCTACAGGGTGAGAGTTTTTCCTGTAAGACATGTTTTTGTACTAAATGCCCTTAACAAATACAATATTTGTATTTTATATTATAAAAGATTTATTAATAATAACAAATTTATTTTTATTTATAAAATATTAACTCATTAGCCTGTAATTTAGTTATTTTCTTGAACATCCAAAATACAACAGAAATAAATGGCAAGGGAAAACTTTTGGACCAGACGTCAACTGTCCAATACCTAAAATATTATCTTATATTTTACTGCTTAAAATATTAATAAAATATTAAAATGTAAACCAATTTCAATATTATTAATTATTTAAATCTATAAAAAATATATAACATATTAGTAAATACTGTACAATTTGGTTAAATGTCTCAGATTTTTTTGATTTTCTCACTTTTACTCTTCACAAAACAAACAGCTTATATACAACTGTAGATTAGATTGTAGTCTGTGGTCTGTACTCTGTATGATCATATTGAATTTGATCTAAATGTATAACAAATAGTACTTTTCAAGTAGTGTTATTAATAGATAAATTCTTCAAACCAAATTACGTAACGGTTTAATTTATAATGTTTTTTGTGTTTCAAATACAGACTTGTAGAGTCGTAGATATTTTTTTATATAATGTGAATTAATATGAATGTAATATTTCAACAATAAAATCACACTTACAAATTATACTTATCAGTTATCACAAAAACAAAAATCATTAAAAATGTAACTTTTATTTGTCTAGAAAAAGTTATACTATTACATTATGCCATTACTAGATTATTATGTACCCAACTTATTATTAAAGACTGGAGTTTTATGCGTTTACATATTTATACTGAGTGTAAGCATAACTATAAGGGTTTAAAATGTGGGCGTTTCAAATCAAACTGACAAAATTTTATTTTGCATATTGATGCATATTTGAAGGCGTATGTTGTTATTAAATCATATAATGTATTATATTATAATATAGTCATATAGATACATTATTTTATACACTTTTAATAAAAAAATAACTTAATTTTTCCATGGTCCTTTTCAAAATAAAACAAGGATTAATATGTTACATAACAATTATATCAACAATTAATATTAAATAATTACAGAAATCTTTTTGATAATCAAAATGTAGGCGCAATTCAAATCAACTGATTTGATTATTTCTTGCTAAACAGATAAAAATAAGTGATTCTAATTATTCTTGAAACATTATTGACTAGTTTCTACTTTGAAAACAAACTTGGTAATGACTTCATAAAAATGGGTAAAAATATATTGTCTATTTGAATCCACTAACTATTTATAAATAGTATGACATATAAGTACATGTACCAATTGGAATATCTTTAATTGATGCTAAATACTAATAATTTGACTTTAGAGTACAAATCTTTATTAAAAATTTTGAAATTCTTTTAAAACTGAATAATCTATTTTCATAGATTGAGGTAATGTTCATACCTAAGCTGGGATATCATTTGTACTATTTATTTTGTAGCTCGAATATTAAATAAAGCCCCGTAATGAATAGAAGTTGTACAAATAACCATGGGCCCTGGCACCCTGTGTGCATACCTATATAATATGTACTTCTATTAATTACCACGTGGCTAGTTCCTAATATTATTTTATAACTGAGTATTGCCCGGTGTGTGTGTCATCCATAATAACTTACAACTAACAAGTACTATTTAAATTTAATTTACTGTGTATACATTTATTATTATATTAAGTTAAAATTTGATTATTTTATTAGAAATATACAATATGTGCCCTAGCCTCTAGGGCACAATAAGAATGTATGCTACAAGAATGAAAACATGAATAAGAAATTTGATTATTAAAAACAAAATTTTATGAGGCTATAAATTAGTACCTACCACACAACATAATGAAGATAAACAATCACATGAATGAATAAATAGATTATTTTAATTATAAGTTTAATTAATACAAATCCAAAATTAAATACATGAACACTACATAAAAAGTAAGATAATTTAAAAAAGAAAAACAATGATAGGTATTACTTAACTCTTTATACACCTTACTTGGAATAGAAAAACCATGTTCACTTCAAATCTCGAATTGTTACTTAATACTTTTATTCAATAATACATTAAGCACTTCATTATCAAGATCTGCAAGGGCCCATTTATGAGAGCTAATTTCCAATGCTTCCCATTCTGCTTTAAAAGCTACTTTTGGATCCATAGGCATGGACATGGCAGCACCGGACATTTGATCTTGCATCAAACGTGACTGATCTGCAGCATTATTTTCACCCAAAACTAGTGCATAAATGCTCCGAAGTCCAAATACATTTAAAAAATACCATGAAGCAGATGATACCCAAGCTGCATCCAATGAAACCAATTCAATACCTAACAAAGAAACAAAACAATTAAAACTTATAATAACCGATCATACTATGCAAATTACCTCTTTGTAACATTGGTTTGAAACGCAGGGTTAAGGGAAATGGTACTTTGGTAGTGACAAACCCAGAGAACATCCAATTGATCCAACCACCAATGACCACCATTGGCAAGACGTTGGTTACGTTTCCTTTCAACATTTCAGTCATCATACTTGGATCAGGCATAGCTGTTTGAGCAGGAGCTGCTCGTTTTTGGGTCTTAAAGTAACCATTTTCCTCATTGTTAAAGTAGTGACGGCGCATATAAAATCCTTGTTTAGATATGTATCGACCATTTTCACGTAACATGCGTGATCTAATTAGCACTTGACTATCCTGTACTTGCGTCAGCTCAACTTTTTTTTGAGACGTGATTAACAATGACACATAATGCCGAATGACACCGACAAGGAATGTGATCAGTACAATTGGTAAAAAGACCCAACCTCGAATATTGATGTCCAACACCAACTCAGCCATATTCTTATAAAGTTAAGCCACAAAACTAAAATAATATGGACATTAATACGATTAAGTAGTAAAAACTCTTAACCGATGAGATTAGGAATTCAGTTGTTTGTATTATTCAATATATTTAATAGAATTTAGATGTGATTTGTGCCATGATTCAATGGTTGTTCATGGTATCACAGAATTACAGAATAGAATAATGAATATTGAGTAGGTATTGACTATTTGAATATAATTTACTATTGAGCAGTGAGCACTATAACTTTTTATCTTAGAGCATATTTTCATTACCAAAATAATTATCCTGATATCAGAATATTATCGTAGTGGTGTTAAAAAGTAACAGTCATACCACCTAATAGATTAAAATATACGGTCACTGGTTCACTGCTACTTTTCCCTAGAGTGCCTTGATAATTTTTTTTTTAACACACCAATACAATGCTGCACACGGTTTAAGATAAATCTATCTTAAACCGTGGTAGGAACTGTATATTGTATGAGTTCAGTGGCGTAGACATGATTTTTGAAAGGGGGAGATAAAAAAAAAAACGACATAGCTAATGGGAGGGAAAAATTGGAAAATCCCCCACCCTCTCAAAACTTTTTACTAAGGTAATAAAAAGCCAATGGGGAGGGATCTGACCCCCACGTCCCCCCTTGCCTACACCACTGTATAAGCTACCTAGCCTAAAAACGTTTGTATAGAGTCATAGAGAGTAGAGACTTATCTATGATTTGTATTTTTATTTTGTACTGACTACTACTTTCACTGACTACTATTACAAATTGCAATAGATATTATATAATACACATTTATTTATATTTGTGTTATTTAATATTTTATAATTTATGCCAATCGTCAATTTGTTCAAACAAACGAATTCCTTTTCGGTTTATGAAATTAAAAGTATAATATAAATATAGAGAACCAATATATTCAGGGATGGTTTTATCCTGGGCTGAGATCCATTTTCACTTTCACCCAACTTACAGCCTTCCCACCAGTTATTATTATCATTCAATTTTAATTATATTTTAGATTTTTAACATGTTTGTAGGTATACCGTATACCTATACTATGGGCTTTTTTCAAATAAAAATAATTTTAGCTACTTATTTTGCTAATTTTAATTTAATATTATAAGAATTTTTAGTTAAGTCTTGAATTCTATTATAGTAATAGGTAACTACTTTTCTATTTCACTAAGACTGTGCACAGCACTACAGCAGTGTTAATAAAATAACTCAAAACTATAAACTTATAATGATAAATTAATAGAACGACGACGAGTGTCTAATATATACGTAAGTAGGTACTTACTTTGTGTTCCACATACTCATATTCGACAGTTTTTTCGGTGAGTTGACTCGCCGATGACGAGCTTTCATCATCAGAATCCTGATTCCTGGTTCTCCAACTTACTGCAGTTAGGATTTTCCAACTTTTTATGGATAGCTGATATTGCTGATCCTTCCACAAAGTGTGCACGGGCCTTAAACAAGTTCAGATCGATTTTTATTTAGAGTAATATAAAAAACAAAATATAGTCACGTGTTTAATATAATGTCTTTGACTTTCAAAAATATTGTTTCTTACGCCATAATATATGATATAATTTGTGTGTAGTGTATAGGTAATAGTATTTAAAAATAGAATCCATAAAAATGTCGGTGTGAAAAGCCCCACAAAAAATCATTTCATTTTCATTTAGTGAGATAGATCTCCGAAACCGCAGAGCAGATTTCGTTGTTTGGGATAAATTTTACATATTTTCAATTTTATTAATATTTGAATTTTGAACTTTAAATGCTTATAAAAAAAAATTGTGCCTATTTATTTCTAATATTTTTCAACTGCTATTGTAACAATATATCAGGAGCCTTGCATTCAATTTTCACGCGTTTTTACAAAATAAATAAAATTTAATTGATATTTATAGAAAAAAAAACTAAAACATTGAATTTTGAAATTGCCCGTTAATAGCTCAAAAAGAGTGAAAATATTTTGAACAATTTATAAAGTATAAGAATTGATAAAATAAACATATGATGGTGTACATTTTCAAGTATCTACAGTCATTCGTTTTTTAATTACAACAAAATTAGAAAATTGTTACATGAGAAATCGAGTGAATATCCAATCTTGTAAAAATATGAACTTCAAAAGCTCATAAAAATTTAATTTGACTGTCTTGTAGAAATTTTTTTTTTGATAAAGCCATAAAGGTAGCAAAATTATAAGGCATCTTGTATTGCATTTTCAAATCTTAGATTAGAAAATTTTTATGAATTTTTAACTCAAAATAATTTGCTCATTTTCGTCATTTTTACGTATTTTGTCAAGATTTAAACTTTAAATGATTATAAAAAAAAATTGTGACTGGATTTTTAATATTTTTCAAATATCGTTGTAACAATATATTAGGAGACTTGTATTACATTTTCAAACTTTTTACCCAACAAATACATTTTTTTTGACATTCATAGAAAAAAAAACTAAAAAAATTTTAAACTGGAAATGTCCGAAAACAAGTCAAAATATTTTATCGCTTATAGTATATGCTATTATAAACATTCAGTGAAAATTGTATGTATCTACGGTCATTTGTTTTAGAGTTACACAAAAAACCAAAAATTTTGCGTAAAATTCATGTTTTTTCTTACCCAGGTTTTATTTCTTTCCCTGCCCATTTGAAAACTATTGGGAATTTTATATTTTGACCAGGGCCGTCCTTTGAGGGGGGCGTGGGGGGTGTCTAACCCCCCACTCATGATTTTTTAAATATTTAGTCGGCAAATTGGACACTTGGTAAAAGTTGTCGGCAATTTGGCATCGTCAGTATTTTAATAGTATTTTTATTATTTTCAAAATTTTTGACCTCCCGAATGCACTAACTAGATTCACTTTCCCATCAAACAAGATACTGTTGAAGAAAATCGAAGCAGTTTTACTACCCCAAAAGCAATTTAACTATTTTAAATGGTACTACAGATAAAATATATCGATATTGAATCTGCTTGTTGTTATCAATCCACATCAATCCGGGACCATTTCAGAAAATAAAGGTGAGATATGTAAGTCAAGTTTTTAGCAACACAATAGGAGCAGCTATGCAAGTTGCGCTCAAGGTGGTTTATACCTTTAACTACAGAAACTACACTAGGTAACTTTTATCGAGTAGGTATACCTATATGGACAAATTATTTGATTTGTTAAATTCAAGAAAGAAATCTGGAAGTAAAGGTTTAAATCGACTGCTAACCTGCAGAGAGAACATAATATTATTATACTCCATATCTGCTTGATGTATTTAAACATATGAGAGTTCTGGCAGTTCTGAATACCAAAAAAGTCAATAGATATAAATTGTAATAATAATGATGTTACTAATGAATGACATTTTCGGATGGTTGGGCAATTTTGTAACCAAAACGGTAAGGTGACATTTTGATCCGGGGACTTTTTGATCCGCATTTGTATCCACTGCGGACTTTTTGATCCATTTTTCCTTGGGGACATTTTGATCCGTTTTATCAAAAATGTTATTTTATGAACGGATTAAATTGTCCCCAACGGATCAAATCGTCCTCAGGGGACATTTTGGTCCACTGGGGACTTTTTGATCCGTTTTTTTTTGGGGACATTTTGATCCGTTTATTATAAAATATAATTACATAAGGGAAAAATCAAATTCTTCTCACATCAAAATTTATGAAAAAATGAACTACAGTGAAACCAGTGTTAAGAACCCCTGAATACTAGCTGTTAGTTATATTATTCTATAGTTCTTGTAGTATTAATGTAAATTTCTGTTTAATAATATTGTAAACTGATACGTGTGTGACACAGGCGAGTAGGGCTCCCTTCTCCATACGACGGGTCTAAGGAATCTGCTGAACAAACCCTTTTTGAACGGACAACCAGCTCTTATGCGGGGCTCGCACACGTAGCAGTTAGAGTCAGTGTTGGTGTCACAACAGACCATTACAGACCATTTCAGAGCATTTCATATAATAAAACGTTATTAAAATTAAATAAAGAATATTATTTTGAGCCAAAGTAATTTAAAACTCGTTTTATTTTATTTGTGCGGAATCGCCAAGTGCGTGTCCAATGTCCATAACACCAGCATGAATAAAATAATGTAAATACAATAAATATTTTTTCAAAAATGTTGGTTTGTATACGTTAAATATTTTCGAGTAAGTGGTGAAACCGATTTTGAGCCTGTAATCACCCAGTAATTTTAAAATATGGTAAATATTTTGGGTTAGCCGTGAGTTTGAGGATAAAAATTGTGAAATCTCCCTATAAAATGTAATACGGTAAATATTTTTGTGTGAGCCGCAAATAGGTGGACGATGAGTGGGTAATCTCCTCGTGATGTGCAATATAGTAAAATCAGTGTCCTCTAATAGGCAGACATTCCCACTTGAACATGGTGTAATTAACGTTGAAAAAAACGTCTGTGAAAATAAACTGTATACTACTAATAGTAGGTACCTACTTTACAAATAGAACTAATAAGTAATTTTTTAGTATAGCACTATAGCCTTCACCCATGTTCCGTAATTTTTATTACGTATTTACATTTTCGATAAGTCGTAGGTCTATCCTTCTCGTGATTCAGATGTCGTACGATCGTATATGCTTCATTCTTAAGGTAGAGCATAATGCATATATAATGTACTGTACCTATAGTACGAGTAGTACCTACCAGTCCTACCACCTACTGACTACTCAGTAGTTCTCACTACTCTTAGTTCTTACATCATATACATATATGGTATCAGTGGCGTATACATGCATAACTTTGATACATGCGGTAGGTATTGCGGTGTGATGAAAAATCATTTTAGGTGCGATAGGTCATAGGTACTCATAATATTATTAAAAATACGTACATTCGCAACCTCACTAGTACACTTTTCCCAATGCTGCATTTGTTATAAATGACTTGCAAATGAACAACTTAGCAAATTTGCTTTTGACCATATCAATTTCATGTTTAAAGCATTATAGTAACTAGGAAAGGTGGGGGGGGGTTGCACAAAGGACATGTGCGCCCCATGTTTAAAATGTGCAGCCCCAAAAAATAAAAGTTTTTTTCTATTTTGTTCATTTTGAATTAAAAATTATCAATAAATACAAAAATGTTGTACTATATATCTATAGGTACCTACTGAAAATATAACATAATTGGTATACTTCGCTATAATTAAGTTCCCAGCTATAACATAATATTATAACGAAATTATCTTTAGCACATTTAATGTTGTATAGAATAGGTCACAGATACGTATAATATGTAATAATATTATATTACAAAATCACGAAATACAGCTTTTAAAAAAGAGTAACGGTATTTTTCATTATCAAGTAAACAGTTAAACTGCGTTGTTTAACAATTTTTTACAATTGTATTATATGTATATATATAATATATCCGTTTTAAGGGGGTATGAGTAGGCCATAAATATTAAATCAATACTGTTTTTTGGGATATTATACAAAACCTACTTAAAAGTAGTAGCTCCTCCAATATGGGTTGTATCGTCTGGAAATCTTCGAGGTTCAATGCAGTGACACCTATAGATCAAATTATTGCTGTTCTTAAAAAAGCCGCGTCTCGTATTTAAGTTTGAGAAATTGGCAAAACAATATTTTTCGCCAAATTTTGCTTGCTTTCATAAATTAGTTATCATGGTTAATACTTTTATAAAATTATACTTAATACAGATAAGATATGTTATCCTAGTGTGCAACTTTATGAAGATTCTTGAACTCTTTATTGATTTATGGGCTTTATTTCCAAAATATTTATTCTCAAATGCTTAAAATGGACATATGAAACTACACTTTTCAACGATGGACCCCATGCTTAAATGAGATGGATTAGGCTAGATAGATAGGATATTTTTGTTAGAACAGCGTTTTACAGAAAATTAAAAATTAATTTAGTTCATCTACAATAGGTAGGTAGGTACTTAAAATATATAATGCATATTAATATTATGCACTCTATGAATTTAAAATACCTACCCATTTAATAATATTACATTAGGTTATAGTAATATTTACTTTTTTAATATTTGTATTTTGTTATATAACCGTTGTTACTGAATAGGTAGGTAGGTAATTATTTGAACATTTATTTACGTGACATCACTAGCATTTTTAACTTGATAAATTAATTACAATTATAGAAATTCACTAAAATTCTAAGGCATTATCAAAATAAAATATCACTATTACACAACAATCACTTGTGGTAATAATTTGAGACCATGCGGTAATTAATTTCAAAATACTTTGAATATTTTAGATTTTGAGCGTAGCGATGAATGTATTGATTTTACAATACTATGTGTGTGTGTTTTTTTTTGTCATCACATTTGGACACTAAAATAGCTTAAATTTTCTTCAACAGCATCCTTTCTGATCGGAAAGTAAATTTAAAAATGCCCAATAGTTTTCAAAAGCGTCAGGCAAAAAAAAACAAAAAATTAAGGAACATCTGAGATTTGTAATTGTATTTTTTCTAGAAAATGATACTTAGAAAGATAGGAGATTAGAAAAAATATATCTATATATATATTTATAAATGAAGCGTGAAAATGTCGTAATACCTCATCAATCGAGAACGGCTGGTCCGATTTGGGTCAAATTTTTTTAAAGATGTTCGTAATTGCCAGGAGAAAGTTTTTACGAAAATTCGCCGGGAAAGTTGGAAATCTGGATGAAAATAATACAACAGTGTATTATAAATAGGTTGCGATTGGTTAATCGGGCATGTTTGTTGATTTGTATTATTATTTTTGTCAGTATATATATTAATGAATGTTTGTGTGTATATTAGACCTCTGGGGAGAAGACAGGCTAATTTAAAAATGGTTAAATTTGGTTTTTTTTTATTCTTCTGATATTTTGTGTTAAGAAGAACTCAATTTATGTTGTTAGCTTTACTCAAACATAGGACTTGGGACTGGTTAAAATTACCTAAGTTAGAAAATTACTTTTTATTTATTTATTTTATTACTATAATTTTTGAGTAACTTTATAACTTAACTAGTTGAATAATTGAATGTATGAAAATAAAACTTATCTAACTTGTTAAAAACAATAAGTAACTACACTTATTTTTGAATTTTTTTTTTTCATTCTAAAAGTCCAAATGTTCCATAAAGCTGTTGAGTGTCAACTATAACCATACAATTTTGAAAATAATTTGAGCTTTTTACGGACCATTTCAAATTTTAATTTTTTTAGTTTTTTTTTTTCTATGAATATCAATAAAATTGTATTTGTTGGGTAAAAACTAAAAACCGTGAAAATGTAATGCAAGGCTCCTGATATATTGTTACAGTAGCAGTGGAAAAATATTAAAAATGCACAGGCACAATTTTTTTTATAAGCATTTAAAGTTCAAATGTTGACAAAATTTAGCACATTTTAAATTTAATAATATTATTTTGTACTTAAAAATTTATAAAATGTTCAAATTTTATAGCTAAGGATTGAAAATTTAAAACAAGATTCCACGTAAATATATTATATATAAATTATTTTATTCATCTTAATATCATCAAATATAGGTACTTAGTAATATCATAGGCTGACTGACCGTTTTCGCTCAGAATCGTTTTTCTTATACTATGATATTATATCATAGAATTCAAATTTAACACCATCCATTACAGTGACCCACTTGTAATTAACCTACTGTACAGCAGAGAGATATCTACTTACCCACTTTTTAAACTCACCATTCAATGGTGACCATTGTATTTATATATTTATAATTTATAATAATAATTCAACGAAAAAAAAGAAATCTTTAAAGATATACAATAAATAAGTAGTAAATATTATGGTAGATGATAAAATATAAAAAAAAAAATCATAATTTCATTTTTTTACCGAACGGATCAAAATGTCCTTTTGAAAAAAACGTGGATTAAAAAGTCCCCGGAGGATAATTTGATCCGCTCTTAAAATTACATTATTTGATAAAACAAATCAAAATGTCTCCAAGGATCAAAATGTCCCCATATCAATATGTCCCCGGATCAGTATGTCCCGATACCACCAAAACAGTAATAATGTAAATCCTACTCTTATACAGTTTCTAAAAAAATATTTTTTGTCAACTATTTCAAACTCTCTGAAGGATCAGATATTCAAATTGTTTAAAAGACATGGGTCAAATTTTAACAACCATTGGGTAATACCTATTAGATGTTGGTAGACAAAAAAGTGTACCCAATAGATGCAATTTGTTACCAGAAACCACACCACTCTCAAAGTTAAAGATTGAAGCATTTTTTCTACTATAAGAAATGTCATCCAGATACCAAATAATATTATTATTCCTTAAAACAGACTTCTTTGATTCTTATCTATATAATTTCCCTCGATATTTACAGGTATATTAGATAGGCGGACACATGCAATATGTACGTTGCGTCCCGAATTACTAGAATGGTGTTACTCCATACAAAAAGTCTAAAGTAGAATTTTTACACTTATACTTTTGAGCAGTTCTTATTTATTTTTCAGCATTCACATCTAGTATATCCTAATATTATATTAGGAGTGTAACTGTGTAAGGAAACAACCAATAAATTAGAAAAATTGTATGAAAGTCAATGGCATAAATATATGGTCGAAGGTTGCATCAGAAGTATAAGAACATTAAGAACAGTTGGAGCTTTATTGCATGGGAGATATCTGGATTGCCAAATATTACAGAGAAGGCGTATTTATATAAATACACCTTGATTATAGGTATAGGCAAAAATGCAAAATGGCCAATAAGGGCCAACAAATAATAATAGTAATAGAAACTACTAACTAGCATTCATTAATCAATGATAATACTATCTTTATTATACGAGATTTAAATATTTAAATACATTTTAATAATAATATTGACAATAAAAATACATAAAAACAAAAAAAAAAGGATTGTGTAAAATGTAATAAGATATACAAATTTTATAAACATAAAAATAATTGTGCAACAGTTAGATACTTCAAAATCCTAAACAATTATATAAAATTAATTCTTTTTGCTCATAAATAAGCTAAATAATTTGTTTGGAGTACTGCTAGCTCGTCTTTTATTAGTATTTGTTTCTTTAGATTCTTTCAATGTGTTTTTTGCATTGCTCTGAAATCATATTAGAATTGTTAAAATTAACTATTCATTGGTAACACAACATGTCAACATATTATAATTTAATATACCTATTGGCACAACTAGAGGGGTGCAAAAGGGTATTTAGCATCCCCAAGTTCTAATTTAGCACCCCTTGTTTTTTTTAGGTCTAGCTATCATTAATATAGTGAAATACCATAATTTTTACTTTTTTAAGATATGAAATATTATAGCACCCCACATTATAGAGGTCTAATTGCGCCGTTGAATATACCTATCGATAGTTTTAACTTAAATATCATCAAAATCTTATAATGTATACATTTTATCAGCCAAGATTCCATGGTATTTGCTAATTATTACAGATTAAAAAAAAACAATATATGATAAACATTGGTTTTATGCATCAGACATTTTAACTATACAATTATTTATTGCACATTTTAAATTTGTAGTGCTCTTTTTACTAATATACATAAATTTGATTTATTGTTATAAATCTCGTAATTTGAATGAAAATAATTATTTTATTAGATAAGTTAAATATCCTGCATTAAATATAATTGATGTCTATTGTCTATACCTCCATAATAATTAATAAACACACATTTAACATTTTTATTTTTTTATTTTTTAGGGCATATTACGGTACTTTTATAGTAGTATGAATTCCAAGCCCTGTACATTATACTTTTTGAAATCCATTTAATGTTTTTAGTTCCCTTCAAGTTTTAATATCTTAAGGTCGTTATAATTTATAAAACATTATATATATTATTATACAAAACAAATTTCAGGTAAAATTATTTTGGTATAAACAATGTTCTTTTTAACACTTTTCTTAAGTTTGGTTACACGTCTGTCTGTGATCAAATCTTGCGCGCTCGATTTGAGGCACTTTTTGAAGATGAAAAATTCTGAAAATTTGTATAGACCTTGGTCTTGGATGACAATACAATAATCCGTAAAAAATTTTTTTTAACTAAAAAGTAGAAAATAAAAAATTAAAAAATTATTTTTAAAAAACACCCTTTTCTAAAAAAACAAAAAAATAATGAAAAATTTAAAAGTGTGTGGCGCTCTTAAACTTGACATATTATACCACACACTTTTAAATTTTTCATTATTTTTTTGTTTTTTTTAGAAAAGGGTGTTTTTTTAGACTATGCCATTATCAAATGTATTGTTTTCATAAGATGGTATCTTTCAAATGTATCGTATATTTTGTAATTTAATTAATTATTTCGTAAAATATTTAATTTCAAAAACTGTTTTTTGTATTGATAAATGATCTCTAAATAAGAAAAAATATATACACTACACAGGGTGATTCACCAAGCATGGACAACCCCCTTTTTCCCTTCAATTTTGCAGTTATTCAAATTCTTGAGATTTTTTGTACTACTTAAGGAGTGTCCTGTGGAGATACAAATTTCTTTTTTTCAAATGAGAACACCCTTTTCAACTGTAAATTATACAGTGGATAATTTTTCTGACATTTATTTGTGAGTGTAGTTTTTGAGTTATTTCATTTTATTTTCTATAGATAAAAAGTCCATGGTATAATGGGTTTATAATATAAGATATAAACTATGTGGGCTATGGTGATTTGAAAATTGTAGTCATTAATATTAATAATTTGTAAAATGGCGCATGTATAATAAATACTAGGTCGTTTTATGTTTATGTAATTTGACCCCTTAAAAATGGTTCACTTTCAACAGCTCTAATACAAATGTTTTAATAACTAAGAAACTACTCATTCAAATTTTGAATTAGGTACATCGATATTTTCAAAAAAACTATCCACTAAATAATTTACAGTAAAAACTGTGGATTCTCATTTGTAAAACAGAAGTTTGTATCGCCACAGGACATTAATTAAGTAGAACAAAACAATTCAAGAATTTGAAAATATGTTCTATAAGTATATTTAAAAATTCCAAAAATCAGAATATTAATAAATTCATTATTAAAGGAAAAAATGGGGGGTGAGCATGCATCACCCTCTACATAAAGAAATTATTTATAAAATTAGTTTGTTACATTGATGACAACATGCTAATTGAAAGTGGGTTAAACTGTTTGATGTTCAAAAGTCTATCATAGTTTTAAAAATATCTAACCAAACCAAACACGAACAAAAAGTTCAAAATTCTATAATTAATCGAAATTTTAAAATAGTTCAAATTCCAACAATATTTACAAACTCGAAAAAAAATTAGAATACATCAAACATTGCAAACAAGAAAAGTTTGCAGTGTTTGTTTTGTTATTTTGTCTATTTTTTTTAAAGTGCAGAGTTAAATATTCATTCTAGTAACATAATTCATATTTTTAATTTTAATAAAATTAAAACCATATTATTGTCCGAACAGCAATTTATTCTTCTGTTATTGAATTATTTATACTTTATAGACTAACTGACTAACATATAATTATTTAGGCCTTTGGGTTTGCACTATTTACTTTGTGCGGGTTCGGTTGGATGTTGAAAGAAATTTTTGGTTCAAGTTCGACATACGATTAAAAAGTTTGGTTCAAGACCATACTTTTGAGTTTGACCCTCCTCTAATGAATTATAAAATAAAAATCTACAAGTACCGTCCTACTCAATTACAATTTATGGTGCTGATAATATTTAAAAATGTAAAAGGCGAAATTAATTTTATTGAAATTTGAATCTTATAAGAAATAATTTTATTTACTGACAATTAATTAGAAAGCAGCATTAAGAATAAACAAATACAAGATTATGTATAAAAACCACCTCGATTTAATAAGTATCTAGGCTACAACATGGCGAGTCAAAATAAACCCCGAAAAATCATTTCAGGCCCCAAAATCCAAACTTTCTATAAATTCAAAATTAACAATTTACAAATCTTTTTTAAGACCAATATGTACCTATGGCTCTCAAATTTGGGGTAGCGCCAAATCGTCCCAACTACAAACCATCCAAGCATTCCAGTCCATATCCCTCCATCTTATAACATCTACCCCATGGTACGTAACAAATAATTCACATGGACTTAAAAATACAAACTGTTGAACAACTAAAAAATATTACACTAAATTTCACAAAAAAATTACATCTACAACAAAATCCTCTTATCTCCCACCTATCATCACGTACACTTCTCGACAATCCCCCTAGCCGCCTTAAAAGACGCTGGTGTCGTGATATTTTACGATTAAAAATGAAAAAATAAATAAATTATGTTTAATTTAAATCTGAAGGGTTCTATTATTGGATGGCCTCCCTTATCCTGTCATTTTGTTATTATATTATATTGTTTTGTTGTACATATTATCACATTTGCTTACTGTGTTTTATTAATACAGATTGTAAATTTTCAAAAAAAAATAAAAAAATAAAAAAAAATGTAAAAATGTATGTAATTGTATAATATATATTATATACAAGTATAACGTGGGATAAATTTGTAGATGCTTAAAAAATATTAAGGTGTTTAAATTTTACAAATTAAGAAATATTTATTTGTAAAATCATAATAAAACACATACCGATAAAGAAACACGACCTCCATTTTTGCTTGGAGTTGGTGGTCCTGGTTTCTTATATGATGTCTGAAAATAAATATAATATTTAGTAAAACAATTAAATATGTATCAAGTAATATATATATATATAAATACCTGATTTCTATCTTTTTTCTTGGTACGATCATTCGGGATAAGGTTTTCAGTCTCATAATCACTATAATTAGCGGTTGTCTATAATATAGGGTTTAGATTTAATTGATTATACAATTATGATTGGTTGTAACAAATAAATAATAACAAATCACCTTAATATCTTCTTCTGTAACTAATGAGGTATTTGGCAAAAAATTAGTTTCTGCAGCATAACAACTTCTTAAATGTGGTGGACAAAGTGAGTTGCGGGCTTGTAGTTCTGACAGTCTTTCATTATATTGTTTTTTATTATCATTGAGTCTTACTTTCCCTTCTTTTAGATCGGCAAGGCATGAGTGGTTGAACATTTCACCTTCCTCATCTTCTTCTTTTGGAAATATTTTACCTAATAAGAAAATAATAATATTTTTAAATATCTATGATTAGTGGTGGGACTAAGAGGTTGGGTGGTCAGATGATCTACATTTTTTTTTCTTAATATGATGTAGGTAGTCCCTATTTTGACAAACTCTATAAGACAGATTTTATTTAAAATAAATGTACAGAATTATCATTTTAAAATTGTGCATGGTTATATTGAGTCGATAATAATGTTGCTATAGAAAGTTAAGTATAAATATTAAATATTACAAATCATAATATTATTTACTGCTGCATCAAGTCTCAAAGTTGACGCGGAAATAAAGCTATTTTTTTTTTATTGATTAACCCGCGGCAAGTCAGGCCAGTGTTGGTTTTTCAACTGTGGAGGAGGGTTGGGCGAACACAAGTTTTTGGATTTTGGCAGAATTTCAAATTGGGCACCTGTAGAACTACATGCCCCGTCGGTGGATGGCGGCTCTCTTTCTAGATAGTTGCCTGCCAGAGAGAGGAGCCACCCATGGTCGAGATTCAAACCGGCGTCGAAACCGAAGGCATAGCCAGCTCAGCGACTCTGTCCCCAAAAATCTATTTTATATAATATACCTCCTTATTTGGTAGATTTTTAGTACCTATTATTTATAATATAATTAGGGATGGGCCGATACTAAAACCGATACTCGATATCGGCCAATATTGACGGTATCGGTTTTTTCATTTAAACCGATACCAAAAAAACAAAAAACCATATCTATCAGCATAATAGCATTGATTATTAATTGTAATAGTTAAATGTAAAATGATAATAGTATTTCGGTTGATAGTATAGGTGATCTTTTAATATCGGTTCATTGTTTATGCTGAAAATGTTGTTTTTCAAATATATCTGGTATCGATTTTTTATCGGTTGCATATATCGGAGTATCAGATATCGGTAAAAAGAGGAATCGGCCCATCCCTAATTACATAATAGATATGCATAATAATCTTTATTGACTTTTAATAGAGCCATATAGGATATGCTGTTCGTCCATTAATTTACTCAATTGCTTTATTATAATTGGAGTTGTAAATTATATTATAATAACACTAAGTTACAGTTAATATCTGTAATTATTATCAGACAGTAATTGAAAAGTTTGTGGAAATGTCAATGTTTTACTTTGAAGCATACTATATCATGTTTTTATCAAAAGTATATTTAAATATTTTTTTTGTGAAAATAGAAATTAAAATAAATATGCTTCAATTACAAGAGGAAAAACTGATCAAATATAATATAGATTATGTAGGAATAATGATAATCAAGCTCCATTCATATATTGAATAGAAATTAAACAAGTAAAAATTAATTAAGCAAAGAATAAATAGTTAAAGTTACCTACTTAAATAAAATATGCATTAAAAAAAATGATAAATTGTATTTAAATGTTTGTACAGGGAGATTCTTTAAATAATATTAGGAAATCATTAAATTTAAACGCAATCAACAAAAATAACAATTGAATTATAACAACAAATGAATTGTTTGAATGATGAATTAATTATAGTTATATCAAAATAAATATTAAGTACATTTTTATAAAAACTTCCTAGATCAAATTTTATCACAGGAATTTCTAATGTGAAACTACTATTCCTTGTCTTTTTCTCACCGCCTCATTCATTCACATTTACTTATTGTACAGATTGTACATTTTCACAAAATAAACAATATTTTATAAATATTATAAAAAAAAAAAAAATTATCAATTTTTTTTTGGATTAAAATTTTTGATGACAATTGACTACATATTATAGTGTATTCCATAATTTGGATCTCGTACATGTTGCGTGAAATGGTTGACACGAGACAAAGTATATTATTTAATTACAAACTTAATAAAGGCAAATTAAGTAACAGTAAAACCCACATTATTAATCCAAGCATTATTTCTAGTAACAACTAACAATGTATTTAAATTTATGAATATCTTATATATTAAATTAATTTTGTTCAACAGAAGTATTAATGAATTAGAGTAGCAAAGCATATTTATTATTTTATTTTCTAATATAAATTTAACATATTATGCAAACCGAAACCAAATAAAGATTAGTTAAAATTTAAAGTTATGCAACTAAAATTATTTTTTATTCAATTTGTAAAAAGATTTCAGTTTTCATAATCTCTTAGGAATTTGCTTTTACTAGGGACGAAATTGTTTGGACTAAAAATGTGAAAAACATGATATGCATGCATAAGCATGCAAGATAAAAATGACAAAATTTTTCAAAATATGGCATCTAGTGATATTAAAAAATGTGCATCAAATTAATACACATTGATAACAAGACAAGTAAACCAGTTCCAGATAAAGATAAGGTCCATCATAAACCTTGGTAGCTATCTAATTATTTTTTTTTTCTTTAGCCATTAGTAGCATAGATATTTGAAATATTATTTTTGATTATTATAAATTTTTCAGAGATAATTTAAAATTAATTTTTGTTTGACATATTAATTTGTCTTTATAGTAAATAGGAATACTTATTTATTTAGATAAAGTATTCAAATTGTATGCATTAATGACAAAGTATGCCTTAACCCTTCAAATATGAAAAAAAAAAAAATTGTTCCACGAAATAGAAATGTTTGATTTACACTCATATTTCAAATCCTCATGGTTGTGCAATCGCTCACTTTGAATATGCAAACCTATATAATTCTGGTTTCTAACTATAATGAATAATGACTAAAGATTGAAATTTTATATAATATAAGTTAGAAATTACTATTTTTGATGGTCAAAAAATATTTAAAATAAGTCAAGTTTTTATTTTGTTGGGTGAAATAACTAGTATTAATTTATTATTATTATATTAGGCAATATGGTTTTAATTAGATACTACTATACTAGTCAAAAATATTAATAATGTTAGATTTTTGTTAGTAACGCACCAGACGATAAGCTGAATTTTTTACCAATTCCTGCAGGCACATTTCGTTTACTATCTGGATAACAACGAGTGGTCTCTTCTACTAGTGATCTAAAATTATAATACAACGAATGAAAGTATTGTATTACACAAATATATTGTTTGTTATAAATTCTTACCTGATTTGACCGGCTGAGCTGGACTTTGGCAGTGTAAAAGAATTATATTTTGGAAGAGTGGCCGCCTGTAAGATAAGTATCAGTTCAAACACCTTTATATTATATTCATATATTTTTTTAAATACTTACGGTTTCAGAAATTATTGACATTTCAAATGGTAATGACATTGTAGACTCTCTTCTATCTTTTTGTTGTAACCTTAAATATTTTTCACTAACTTCCCATAACTGCTGACCGAGTTCTTTAATGTGAATTTCATCTTTGGTTATCTATTAAAAAAAATATCTATGTTAGTAGAAATTAATAGAGAACTTACATAACATACTTTGTCTTTGTATTTTAACAGTTTAGCTTCAAAATCTTGATGAATTTTTGCCTCTAAATCTTTACAAAATTGTTTCTAAAAAGAAAAACTCATTTGATATTAATATTTACCTATTATAATAGTTTTTATTTTTTTACCATTTGTTCTCTCTTTCGTTCAAACTTCTTTTCGTATTCTGAAGTTACATATTCTTGAGTTTTTTGTTGCACTTTTGTCATTTTATAAACGCATTCCGTTTTCAATGTTGACATTTCGGTTTCCAAATGTTTAATAGTTTCTTGTTGACTGAAATGAAATTTTTTTTTTTATTGTTCATAATAAATTTTATAAATTACATACGTTTTTGATAAAGCTAGTAATTCGGCATAAGCTTCATTGGATTCATTATTAGTATGATTCATTATTTGTTCGGTTCCTTGGGTTTTTAAATTGATTATAAACATTTTCAGTGCTTCAAATATTTTTTTCACCCTTTCAATAATCGAGTTTACATCACAGTTTTCAACTCGAGCCAACTGAATACCATTTTGTTCGATAAATGTATCTGCAGAAGTTATAACTTCGATTAATGAATCATGATGATGATCTACAATGGGGTTGTTTTTAATATAATCAAATGAATAATTGAAACATGTTTCAAAACAGGTTTCAAAATGTTTTCTTTCTTTTTTTAGTATTGATTCAAGTTCAACTTTCACATCTTTTAAGTATTTTATTTTCTGGTAAATATCTGTTATTGAGTCGTTCTTCAGTTTAATTTCAGATTGCATATGGCTAAGTTGTTTTTGAGCTTCCAACAATTTTTTATCCAATTTATCAATTTCTTCAGTGGATTTTTGACTTAAGTTATTCAATTGACATTTGAATTCATTCAATTTTATCATCAATGACATATTTTGGCATTCTATTTCTTTATTTTGTTTATCTAAATCCTGCAGTTTATTTTGATTTAACCCTAAATCAAATTCACGTTGAGCTAAACATTCTTTAAGTTTATTTGTTTGGTTTACCAAATTATTATTTTCATACATTAATAAATTGTTTTTTTCTACTTGTTCAATTGAACATTTATTCTGTTTATCCAATTCCTCTTTCTGATTAATAAGCTGTTCTTCAACTTCTTGTAGTTTTTTATTGGTTGCTTCAAGTTTTTGAGTCAGATTGTGTTGAATGTTCTCTAATTGAACTTCTATTACAGCCTTTTCGATTATTATTTTATCATTTAATTCTTCATACTCAAGCAATTTTTCTTGATTAGCAGTTATAACATTATCTTTATCTAATAAAGTACTCTCGAGCGCATCTGTTTTATTAATTAAATTATCTCTTTCTGATATTAAATCAGTAATTCTTTTCATGTGGGTGTTATATTTACTAATGTATTCATCAAGTTCAACCTGGTTTTTATTATATTTTTCTTGTAATTCAATATATTTTATATCCATATTCTCGAGTTTTTCCTTTGATTCCTGGTGTAAATTTGTTAATTTCAACTGGCTTTCATTGAGTTCAGATACTAAATTGGTCTTCAATGTTTGTAATTCTTCATACTCTTTTTCACAAATAAGAACTTTTTCTTGCAATGATTTCAAAGTATATTCATTTATACTCATGCATTTATGAAGTTTATTGGTTTCTTCTTGTAATCTATCTTTATCAGCATTTAATAAAGATATTGTTTCTATTTGTTTCTTTAACTCATTTTGTTCAAGAATTAATTTTTCTTGAATATCCAATACATTTGTTTCTTTGATTTCTAGTTTCAGGGTAAGATCTTGATTTGTATTTGTTAATTTAGTAATAGTTTCATTTAGTTTCCATTCTAAAAACGACTTTTCATTATTCATTGTGTTTATTTTAGTTTCTAAATTTTCAATTGTGTTACTACAATCGTACAATTTTCCTTCGCATAAATTAAATTTGTATTCATTGTGGGATAAGAAATCCTCAAGGTTTTTTATTTTATTGCTAAGACACTCTTTTTCATCATTTAATTTAATAATAGTATCTTTCTGCTCATTACAACAGTGAATTTGATTTTCCAATTCAATATGTTTGTTGTTCAACATTTGTTGTACTTCAATAATTTGTTTCTGTAAGCTTTCTTCAGAAACCGAACATTTTGATATATGAACTTTGAATAATTTGATTTCTTCTTCTTTTTGTAATATAATGTTCTTCAAGTCTTTTAATTCTTGTTGCAAGTTAATACATTCATTTTCAGTATAATCAACTGTTTCTTTCAATTTATTATTTTCTTCAGTGGTTTGTTCAAGGTCTTTTATTTTATTGCTAAGACACTCTTTTTCATCATTTAATTTAATAATAGTGTCTTTCTGCTCATTACAACAGTGAATTTGATTTTCCAACTCAATATGTTTGTTGTCTAACATTTGTTGTACTTCAATAATTTGTTTCTGTAAGCTTTCTTTAGAAACCGAACATTCTGATATATGAACTTTGAATAATTTGATTTCTTCTTCTTTTTGTAATATAATGTTCTTCAAGTCTTTTAATTCTTGTTGCAAGTTAATACATTCATTTTCAGTATAATTAACTGTTTCTTTCAATTTATTATTTTCTTCAGTGGTTTGTTCAAGGTTTTTTATTTTATTGCTAAGACACTCTTTTTCATCATTTAATTTAATAATAGTATCTTTCTGCTCATTACAACAGTGAATTTGATTTTCAAACTCAATATGTTTGTTGTTCAACATTTGTTGTACTTCAATAATTTGTTTCTGTAAGCTTTCTTTAGAAACCGAACATTCTGATATATGACCTTTGAATAATTTGATTTCTTCTTCTTTTTGTAATATAATGTTCTTCAAGTCTTTTAATTCTTGTTGCAAGTTAATACATTCATTTTCAGTATAATCAACTGTTTCTTTCAATTTATTATTTTCTTCAGTGGTTTGTTCAAATTGTATTTGTTTTTGATTTAACTCTTGACCACTTGATATTAATTTCTCTTCTAGTTCATATTTTTCCAAATGTAACTGAGAAATTGTTTCTGTTAGCTTATTACACGTCATAAGTTGTTCGTTAAAATCATTCTGCTTTTTCTCTAAAGTGTCTTGTAATTTCTCAACCCTTATTAAACACTGATTATTTTGATTTGCTAATATATTTTTCATATCATTAAGCTGACATTGAAATTCTTCATTCATAGTTTTTATTTGCAATTCATCATTCCTTAAATTAGTTTTAATTACATTATTTTCAACCAATGCTGCATTAAGTTGTTCTTTTAACTTATCTAAATCTAATGTAGATTCCAGTACTTTCGCACATAAATTGTTATTTTCGGAAGATTTTTGTTTCAAAACTTCATCAAGATCATTTATGATTAGCTGTTGGCTACATTGTTCTGATTGTAATGTTTTAATTATACCTTTTTGATTGTTAATCAGTTTCAGTTGTTGCTCTATTTCATTTTGTTTACATTGTAAAATGTCTGCAATTTTTGTTTTTTCATCCTTGAGATCTTTCAACTCGTCAAGATAATATTCCAAACAGTTTTCCATTTCACAATTTTTTTCACTAAAACTTTTTTGTTGTGTTTCAATTTCAATTTTTATATTTTTTAAATGGGATTCCAACATAAGTTTTTCTTGGTACATAGTTTTCAATTGTTCTTCTTGAGTTCCAACAATTTGGTAATTTTCAGCCATTTTTTCTTCATAAAAAATTATAATGTGTTCTTTGTTTGCTAAATTATCTTGAACATTTTTCATATTATTTTCTAAATCTACAATGTTTTGATGAGATAGTTTTTCTGAATTTTTATATTCATCAATTATTGATTGTAATTTTTTTACTTTTTCATCGTGTTCTTCATGTATTGCTTCAATTTCTGTATTAGTTTTGCTTAAAATTAGTTCAATCATGGTTTTTGATTTTTTCACAGAATCTATTTCAACAGACAATAGTTCTATTTGCTTTTCTCTTTTATTTAATTTAGAGCACAGGGATTGAATATGATTTTCATTGTCTTTGATAGTATCTTTAAAGTGCTTAATTTTTGTTTCTAAATTATTATTTTTCTTTTGATATTCTTGAAGTTCTTTTATTTTGTTTGAGAATCTGTCTATCAGTTCATCCTTATGAGTTTCATAATCATCCAACTTTTTTTCCAATATAATTATTTTCTCATTCAATTCTTTAACATGAATTTTAGTCTAGAAAAAACATACAAAAATAAAAAAATAAATACAATTATATGATATTACAGTTGTTATCAGTTAATTAACTGGCAGTCTATTAATGCCACAGTAAAATTATTTTCTGAACTCATTAATTGTTATTGGCCTGGTAGCTGATATAAAATAAAATATGAAGAGTATTTATTAAATTATAAACAAATATTGGTACATTAGTTTTTTAATTTTAATTGGAAGCATGTATTTACTAGTGATGGGCACAACCGAGTGAAAACTATCGAAGTACTCGATAGTTTAAAATATCTAATTACTCAGTTGTTTTATAAAATTATCGAACTATCGAAAAACTATCGGACTATCGAAAACTTATTTTGATTGTTTTTTTTTAAACTCTAAGTAGTAAAATATATCCAACTGGTTTGGATAAATTGTATGTACTTTTATAGTGTTTTAGTTATATATCAAGTATCAACTGTCCATCTACTACAAATCATACATAGCGTATAAAATTCTAAAATACTCAGTATTTAGTATTTACTATTTTCCAAATAAGAGTTTCCTACCAAAAACATATCCTATAATTTATTATGATTTTCTTCTCATAATACAATTCTCATAGTTTTTAATACTTAGATTAATTAGATTCATAGGTATGGTGATGAATTTATATGGGGGCCCCCCCAATTTCTGGTACACAACATATATTCTAAAAATGTAACTACAAAAATTCACGAAATGGGGGGCTATAGTCCCCTTAGACAACCCACCACCTCACCATTCGCCTACGATTAGATTGTATTAATTAACACTAATAAATTAAAAACTTATACAAAAAGAATTACCAAAGTTAATAAGTTATATGGATTTTGTATGTTGTATGTAAAACATCCCCGTTCCAATATTTTAGGTGGTATATTCCCGATTAAATATTACCTGTTTTGATTAATTTTTAGGCCTACTTACATAATGAAAATTTAAAGAGTGAAAATTATCAAGAAAATGCAGTCGATAATACCGAAAAATCACTCGATTGTTTTTTTTTAACTCGATAGTCAAAACTGGTACTAGACGTGTATTACTATTTACTACCGGATGAAAAGTATCGATAGTTAAAACTAGTCTGTTCCACTAACGAATGAAAACTATCGAGCAATTCATTCGATGGTTTTAAAAACAATCGATGAATAATAATATTCATTCAATTGAAAAATCACTCGGTAGTTTTTGAAACTATCGATAGACAATCAATTGTCCAAACTATTCGGTACTCGGTAGTGCCCATCACTAGTATTTACAATTTTCTTTGTCTCATTAATGTGTAACATGGAAAATTTGTGTTCAGCAGAATTAATTTTGTGTTTTTTCATTTTTAGCTATACTATACTGTGTCAAAAGTTAATATGCCAGACAACAGGTTTTTGTCTGTTGACGGGTACCTCCTACCAATGAACAGTGTAGAAAATTTACTAGGACATTTTTGTAAGCTTTTAATGATATTTAAATTTTAATGCTAGTTCTGAACATTGTAATATTTTAGGTACACAAATTAAAATAATAAAATCCTACTAGATGCCCAAAATAATATTTTTACATTCAAGTTATTTTGGTATGTTGTACATTTGTAAAATGGATACACCACATGTGTGTCTATCATACTTTTAATTGATCATTAGTGCTCCTTGAATTAAATTTATATTGTTATAGTACACAGGAAATATTATGTTATGTGTTTAATTATATTATTGCAAAGATACAGCACTATATGTTTAGAATTGTAAGGTGTTTGATACATTAATGTGACTAACACTATACCAGGTTAGATATTGAGACAACCATACTAATAAGGTAGCTACTATAGTAATAAACAAATTATAAACTCAAGCGTCCCGCACTCGTAATGTGTGCATCTAATTTATTCGATAATTACTATTTTATTAAAAATCAAACTAGATACTTAATCGTTTTTGTTGTGAAAAGTGTTAAAAGAACAAGAAATTCAAGTGCTTTTTTTTTAACAAAAAAATCGCTGCCATCTGGGGCCCAAAACCCCATGACAAGACTTTCTGTGAGTATTTTAATTATTCAAACCCATATAACGTATAACAAACTGTCTTCCCAGCCACGTATCTTCACTTACGTAACAACACCTAATTAAAATTAACTCTAAATCTAAAACTATCTCCCCAATTAAAATTATCTACCAAAACACCGTACAAAAGATAAAGAATAACAGCCAATTAAGCGAGGCTGATACGAACGATGTTTTCAATTTTGAATGGGCTGAGGTCTCTCCCAAATCTCACAGACGTTTAAATTCGGAAAATCAATATTACTCTGGAACGCAAATGGATTAACTCACAATAAAAATGAACTACAACACTTACTCTACGACAAAAAAATAAATATTGCCCTAATTACAGAAACACACCAATGAAACATTTCAACATACCAGGCTATACAACACATCAAACAGATCACCCCGATGGTACTGCACACGCTGGTACCGCGATCTTAATATCCACTACGCTATTACACTAAGCATTACCGATATATCAAAAGACCTATATACAAATAGTACTTAACCATATCCCCATTATAATATCATCAGTCTACTGCCCTCCTAATAAAAAAATAACACCACCTCGACTCCAAACATTCCTAAGAACACTTAAAAATTCATTCATTATTGGCGGTGACTTTAATACAAAGCATACCGTATTTGGATGTAGATCAACTAACCCTAGAGGCCAAACTTTTTGCAATACAATTTTAAATAATCACCTATCCTTCATTTCGCCTAGCGCCCCAACTAACTGGCCATCCCACACAAATCGTCACCCAGACATACTTGATTTTTTCATAACCTCGCTACCAAACCACTTAAATAATAATATAAAAAACCTTGAAGAACTGTCCAGTGACCACTCCCCAGTTCT